TCTTTCCCTTTAAAACTCGGAGATATCAACTATGTCGTTTACTTGACAATCCTACAACATTGTCCACATTGAATATCTCCACCGTGTTGTTTATTTGGCAATCCTACAACATAATCCAAATCAAATTCTTGACATGTGGTAAGATCCTTGTCAAATTATGTGTTAAGATCTTTGTCTCCGATATTATACCTTAAAAATCAGATATCAACTATGTCGTTCATAGTTCATTGTAAACATTCATATTATAATCATAACCATACCCATATTATTCATGTGCGCGTATTACAAGTTATACTACATGACTATAATGAATATATATATATTATTTTCATTTTATATTAACTCAAGGAGAGTTGCAACATTCCCCACACAAAAAAGAAAAAAGAAAAAAAAGGAGCACATTTCAAAATAGAAAACATCCCCAATTTTGAAAACGGATGCCATGAAGGATAAAAGTTGCCCATTTCTTATTACTTATTTTACAAAACCCTGCCATTTTTGTTATCCAACGATTTTTCCTAAACAATCCCTAATATCTAGCCTTTCCATTGTTATGGTGTTGCTTGGACTCAACAAATCAAAACATTCTCATCATACATATAATATATGTTCGTTCATAAATAATATATATATATATATATATACAGTCCATTCTATTGAGGGATCCCTCAAATAATTTTATTTGAGGGACGCCCTTTAGGATACCCTACAATTTTTTTTTCCAAATGATCTAAACCATCTATTTTTTAGGTCTTCATTCATAGATCATCCTTACAAAAAATTAAATAAATCGGAAACCGTTTCAACATCCAATTGTGTTTTACAAAATTAATGAACCCGGTGCTTCAAGAAAGTACTAAAATTTTAATAACTCAATTGAATGGTCAAATGATATCGGATTCAAGTGATTTTTTTGTAGAGATGATCTTTCAATGAGTATCTACAAAATAGACGGTTTGGATTAGTGAAATACAATCCGGAGTGGACTCTACAATGGGTAATAAGCTTAATTGAGGGATCCCACAATGGAAGCTCTCTGATATATATATATATATATATATATATATACACCCTGCAAGCACATATTAATACTTTCAATTCCTTTTTACTTCCATACAATGCAACAAAACCCCTTATAATACCCGCATGCAACCATGCATAAATTTCCAATATTTTCCATATCCAAGTAAAAACAAATATAAATTTAAAAATCCCTTTTAATGCATGAAACTTATACTTTAAAACAATGCTTATTTAAAACAAAGTCCACTTATAGAAAGTCCAATCTGGTATGGCCTCGTAGGGGTCCTGCCTACTGGCTAGACGGAGCCTTAGCACTTATTGAAGAAATATCGAGATACGTTAAAAATTGTATTTCGAACACGAACTTTAAATTAGAAAGAAAACCCTAATTCCTGGGTATAAATTAAAAACATATACACTTTTCATACTAGGTAAATTATATTTTTTATAAAACAAACAAATAATAGGTACATTATTTTTTCAACATAATTAGTATGTATAGTATTATTCATAAACTATTATAAAATAGATTATTAGTCATGTATAATTCATAAAAAGAAAATAACATAAACATTTTTATTAAACAAACCGATTACCTAAATATGAATTTATTGTTAAATTTAAAATTAATTCTTACATCCATTACAACTATTTGGAGATCTTTCCAAATTCAACATCGGTCATTATATACAATCCAATTAAAAACTAATTTCATATTGATTCCTGCATCAATATATAAAATGCAATAATAACTTAGTTGGGGTTATTTTTAGAATCTGAAAAGTATAATAAATCAGATTTTATGCTTTATTAGGTAACTTGTTGAGTTGAATCATAATTATAGGTTTTTACTTATACAAATTGAGTATTATTTGTAAGAACAAAAAATGAAGGGCTGTAGATACGATAAATTGAATTTGAAGGATGTAAGCCTTACTACATTTTTATTTTATCCAAAGGTTGCCTTCATTATATGGCGGGGAGACCCCAATAAAGACTACAAACAGATAGCAGCAAGCTGCCTAAACATCCCCATCACCACTTCAAAATGAAACTATCAAACACATGAACTTCTTCTATCATGTTTGAGCAGACTCAAAAACACATCAACATTTCTTCACATCATCATCTTCGGGCTTGCTAATCCGCCTCCTAACATCCACAACATTCCCCTTCTCATCCAAAACTTCCACAACCTTCTCACGCACCACCTCCACCTCATCATCAGAATCAGATGAAGTACTCCCCACCAGTCTCCTTAATCTTCTTCCCCGTCTCCATCGCCGCCCCCCACTCCCCCTTCACCTTGTCATTCGCCGTCTCTGCCACCTTGCTCGTCCCCTCCTTCACCTTATCCGCCTCCGTTTCGGCCACATCCTCTGTTTTCTCCTTCATCTCCTTCGCGCTCGCCGCCGTCTCCGCCACCTTATACGTCCCCTCTTTGGTCTCTCATCTACAGATCCCGCCACGTCTTTCGTCTTCTCCTCTGTCTCGTAGGCGTATTGTTTTGCTTTCTCCTTGGCGCTCACTGCTGTCTTGGCTGCTCTGTTTGTTCCCTCTTTCGCCTTCTCCGCTGCGCTCATTGTCCTTTCCTTCATTTCATGGGTACAGTCCTTGGTCCTGTCTATCATTTCCTCTGCTGGATCTTTTCCTCTGTTATTTGCGTCGACGGACCCCTCGTTCCTCCACTTCTTGTCATCGTGGGCCCAGTCTGCCCTTGAATCCCTATGATCTTCCGGAGCATTTCGACCCTGAAATTCAATAACATAGTCAATACGAAGCCCACCGAACCCTGAAGGGATCAAATTATGCAAGACGAAAACTATTGTTAATGGCTTAAGTAATTTATTACCTCCGAGTATTTGGAGGCATAGGTATTGAAGCAGACCCTTGAGACTTTGCTAGAGGAATATCTGAGAGACAGTGCTGAAGGGCTTTGAGGAAAAGATTTTGAAAGGTTGAAGATGAGATTCTTAGCCATGGAGTTGACTGCCATGTTGTTGTTGATTGCTCTGTTTGCTCTGCTACTTCGGTTTCTGATCATATCACCGCTTTATCGGGTTGTCTGTTGTAGGTGGGGAGAGCAAGGTGGCAGCCTTGTTGCTCGACCGTACTAGTCAATTGGTTGGGGGTTTCCATAGTTACACGTGTTCTTTCTTAGTTGCCCTCCCTGACGAAGCTGGAAACTTTTTCTGAAGTCTACAGATTATTTTTCATCCCATTGATAAAGCCCTTTTCTTTCAATATTTAACACCCAAAATGAGGGTTGAAATTATAAAAAAACCCAAGCACTATTTAAACATATAAACACACCCAAAACTCATCATTACACACACTCAAAACTCATTTATAAACACACCCAAAAAGTTGACTTTGGGGTTGATTTTGGGTGCGTTTCTATGTTTAAATAGTGCTTGAGTTTTTTTATAAATACATGTCTAGTATTTGGTTTATTTATAAATTTGTATATTTATTTCTCAACAGATCCATCGACCCTCTCACTCATCCAATTTTTTCTTCTTCTTTTATTTTATAACATCAGAATTCAGAAGTACATACATATACTCTTCAGTTGAAGAAATACTCTGCACTTCTATAACCCAGTCATTTTTCTTGAAGCCAGTGGTGAACGTGCATGGGATATATCCAAAATTCCACGATACCTGATTGGACAAAGCTTAAAAAGCAAGCACCCACTTATGGGACAAGGTATCCTTCTAACCTCAATTATATTCACCAGAGTTGCAACCTTTAAATTTAAAAGAAACACAAACAAATTCCATGTTTACGGAGAAACACCATTGGCACTTCAAATCCCATCTTTAATCAATTACAATGTCTCTTTATAGAGTGAGTTGATGGTGCATTGCTTTATAACGGTTTGGATAGGTGGTTTTGACAAAAATCACGGAAGAAATCGAACCAAAAAAAATAAATTTAAGACGGTTTAATTTGGCTGGTTTGGGTCTATTTCTAATTCTCTTTTCTTTTTGTAATTTTTCAACACTATTAGCCCAATTAAAAAAAACAAAAATCACAACTTCCAGAGTGATAGAGTCCCTTTAGTACTATTAGGTGTTGTGTTTTCATTGCGCCAGATGTATAGGTTTTTTTTAAGGCCCTTTTCAATGGGCTCCGTTGGCAGATATTAGTGGAGAATTATTAGGTGAGTTGGTTTAAAGTCCTTAACAAGGTCTAATTTGTCAGTCAGTATAAATACTGATTAATTAGTTGTGCAAAGCAAGACGGCTTGTATTTTGGATTTGTTAGAGTAATATCAAGATTGGTTTTCTGTTCAAGGATAGAGTTAAGGTTGAGATAGAGCTGGGTCCTATCCTATCACAGAGAACAGTCAGTTGTTGTAATTTCGCCATGGCAGAAGAATGCTCTTCCAGGAATGACTGTTCTCAGGGTTTGTTTCTCTTTGTTTTTTTTACAGTGTGTGTAGTTTTCCTTCTTCTTTGTGATAAGATGGTCTCTGTAGTTAGGTAATTTAAAATTTTCATGGAATCATGGATGCAGGGTTGATACTGAATATGGTTTATCTTTTAAATGGATGATTAGTTTTTGTCTAACTTTTATGTTTTCTTTCTTGTGACTGATGGTTATGGACTATAATACTTCAGAAAGTAGGCAAGCTGAAGAGAAGAAGCCGGTAACAATTTCTCTGAATCATATATATATATATATATGTGTGTGTGTGTGTGTGTGTGTACTTGTTTCCTAGGCAGGCATTGATCAGTGGAGCTTTAAGCAGGTCAAAGTGGAGAATGCTGCAGGGACAGGGAGTGAGTTTGATGACACTGACAGCGACGAGAAGAAGTTTGTTGCTAGTTCCCTTTGTGCTTTGATTATCTTGCTTTGTACAATTAAATTATTCATTTTAATTTATGTGTTTGATATACGTTCAGAAATATTCCGTTAGTGAAAAAAAGCAGAAAACGAAAGAATGAATGCATATGGGCCATTGCTTGCTTAGACAATTGGTATAAGAGAGGCTGGAGGAGGAACGGAAAAAAAAGTTTGGAAGGTGCCGATTTGAGGGAGAAGTATCCACTTTGTATACCTGTACGAATTTCACCGATATGTTTACTTCCTCCTTTGCATTCATATGCTTTGTTCTAAATTCTAATTTGAGCCTCCATGCATGCAATGCAGGTGAGCGTAGAGAAGGATGCAGGGAGTGACATTCCGGACATTAACATGAAGAAGTTAGTTGCCGACTCCCTCGTTTTTTATTATCTTTATTTGTATTGCTGTGATTGTTCCCTTTTCTTTTATGCTTCTCGATATGTATATATATAGATAATGCTTTTATTGTTTAAGTATTGTATTTTTAAGTGTCATATGTATTGTTCATTTGGAGTTAGCAGTTGTACCAAAAACTATTAGTGATTGCCCATTTTTTCTGGATGCAGATTCCTTATCCCTTCTGATATGCTTTTTGGAAAATTTGTTCAGTTTTTACGGGGTAATATCAAAAGAGATTTTCTATTTAAACCCCATATTTCTCTTAGTTCATCCCAACTTTTAATTTTAATTTTCACAATTTCTAAGAAAACCCCACTATCTTCTCAAATTACCCTTAAATACACCCCAAGCTGAAAAAATAAGAAATAAAAGAAATTTTCTATTTAAACCCCACAAGCTACCCTTAGAGGAAGACGTACCTTCTGCAAGCTCTAATGCTAATTGCTAGACATTTTATCATTGAGTATTTAATAATGACAATGAGGTATTTACAATGAGAATGAGAATGAAGTTGGTACGAACGTTCTGTGCGAGAGGAGATAAAACTGGTACTTGAAGTTGCTACACTTTGCACTAGGAGTAGGCCATCTGATCGGCCATCAATGGAGAATATATTGAAGTTTTTATCAGAGTGGAAAAGCAACAAGAAAAATAACCCAACTATTGAAGCAGCAGCAGTAAGATTATGATTTTAGATGCATATTGAAATTCCAGAAGTGACAATAATATCACTATTCCCAGCACAAAAAAAACGCAAACAAATGGAACCCCAAATCCGAACTTTCATACTTTCTAGAGAAAGAGAACAGCTTTACCAAAACATCAAGTATAAAAATAAATATAAAAAAAAAAACAAAACAAAACAAAACAAAAGCAATCAACAAAGGGAAGAGATTAAGATCACTACAACCAAACAATCAATAAGTCTTTCCATCAGCTCCCACGCAGATTTTAAAGAGGCATGCTCTTCAATGTTCTACGTCTCTGGCAATACGATGTAGAGGAGTTTGTATTTTTCTAAACGTTCATATGCAGAGCGGTGAGGTATAGATGTACTAGGGTTAAGTCTTAAGTTGGATGACCTTTTTTTGTCTTTTAACACAATAAAAAATCTTAGAGCTTAATGATTTAAGTATTGGGGTGAACTAAGAGAAGTGTAGGGTTTAAATAGAAAATCTCTATCAAAAAGCCCATGTTTGTCTTTTTCAAGAACACTACTCAACCTCCCACTGGTGAGCTGCAAATCAATTTTTTTTGTTTGCGCTTCATATATATGTGTGTGTGTGTTACTCCCAAAGTTGCAGTTATAATAATTCTTCCAATGTTCACTTAGAGCAACTCCACCCATATTGCCCTTAGCCATGGCAAGGGGGGGGCTAGGGGAGGCCCCATTTACGTGCGAAGGGGGGGGGCCTTGCCA